TTCTTCTTCTTCTTCTTCTTCTTCTTCTTCTTCTTCTTCTTCTTCTTCTTCTTCTTCTTCTTCTTCTTCTTCTTCTTCTTCTTCTTCTTCTCTCGTCCTCCTCCCTCTCATCCTCGTCATCCACCTCCACCTCCTCTTCCTCTCCTCCTCCTCCATATTTAACTTTTTTTTTAAAAGTGTATCATCCTAACGACCCAAAGGCTCTTATTGGGAAGCTTGAGAACGGATCTAATCCCCCTTTAAGGCACGGACTTAGATTAAATAATCTTACAGGGTGAACAAGAATAACAACCCGCATTCAAGTTGTAGCATACCAAGTTTGTGTTCTGTGGCGCTGTAGTATATATTTATTATCTCTACTGTCCGATAATTGTATACGTGAAATAGAAATGGTTAATTTAGTTCTATCTACACGATTGCGGAAAGATCAATCCGGCGCTATCTGGACGATCGTGAAATAAATTTAGCGGTGTTCATATAATTGTAGAATAATTATTTCAACGTTACCATTTAGATGACTACAGAATAAATAGTTAAGTGGTGTCTAGATGGTTTATGGATGGTTGGCGGGTGCTCTGGTGGGTGGGGTTTGCTCCTTCTTTCCTGTCAAACATAATGTATCATCCTTATCTCTCTTCCTTCTTTTTTGTTTGTTGATCGCTTGTAACACCTCGAACTTCGACGCTTATATGACCTAATTGTGTTGCACGTGCCGTAAAACGCTTTCTAGCGGAATAATCAATACATTTATTCAATGCTGTCGAGATGGTTGAAAGAAAGATAATAATTAATCTATTCAATTCTTAGGAATGATCAATTCAGCGGTGTCTATGTGACTGTGGAATAAATAAATGTATTTTCAGATAATTGTCGAAATATCCATTCAGGACTACATAGATGAATACAGAGAATCTGGTTTTGATTAATTCAGTGCTATCGAGATGACTTCGAATTGATTCATCCCGGATGTACAACATGATTGTCGGTCTAGTCTTTTCATCTGGGGTTTTAATTGCACATTTAATTTTCTTGTGCTTTTAAGACTTTCATGGTTTTCCGTCTGCTTGTTTTGGGCTGTTGACGGGTGCTCTGGTGTGCTTCTTCTTTCCTATCAATAAAATTATTATAATGTCGTCCGTATCTCTTCTCCTTTTATTTATTTGTTTCCCCAGTAGGAGACCCTCTTATCTTCGGCTTTTATACGACCCATTGTTGTTGTTGTTGTTGTTGTTGTTGTTGTTGTTGTTGTTGTTGTTGTTGTTGTTGTTGCAGTAGTTGTTGTTTTTGTTTTGCAAGGGCTGTAAAATTCTTACTAAAAACTAAGCTAAACAAAACCGACATGGTTTGGTCAACGGATTCTCAACCTCTGAAATAACCTTACGTTCTTGAAAGTGGCGTATTTATACCCCGTCCGTACCACCAGCTAATCGTTACACGCTCTTATAGCTGTACAAAGCGCTGGAGCATCCAGGCTCATCCTTATGTCGGTTGTTACCGTCACTGAGACAGGCATTTATCCTTTTATGGGATGGTCATTACCTCGGTCACTGTACGAGGGTAGTGTTCGTAAGGTTGCACCACGGAGCTCTATTCTCTCAACAACTGCCTCGAAACCTTTTCATTCAGTTTGTATTGAACGTCTGATGAGTATTTCAGTTTTGTTGTTGTTGGTGGTAGTGTTGTTGTTGTTGTTGTTGTTGTTGTTGTTGTTGTTGTTCTTCTTCTTCTTCTTCTTCTTCTTCTTCTTCTTCTTCTTCTTCTTCTTCTTCTTCTTCTTCTTCTTCTTCTTCTT